AAACTTTCCCCTTCAGCCACGTCATGCCTTTGCCCCATCATCTGCTCAAACCCCCTTCTAAACTTGACCAGAGTTTCCACCTGCATCTCCAGTCCTCGGATCTTTTCTTCCATCAGCTCTATCAGGCGGCACTTCATGCAAACAAAACTCCTTTCAGGTACCCCCTCCAGAATCATATACATACCGCAGCTACCACATCCAATCATCCTCCTTGTGTTCTCTACTACTTGGGCCATGGCCACTAATGCCTCTGTGTTTTATCTACTGTCTCACCAAAATCCTATTAGTCCGCTGAACACAAAAACAAACCAAAACACCCCCTCCACAGCAAAAACAAACTCCAAACAAGTTCCAATATACAAACTCCCACTCAAACTTCCCTGTTTACAGCTCTGTTTGCTTGGCTCCTGTGCCGCTGCACAACCTCCCACTAAGTTTTCATACCCAGAAACCACGGGGCATTCAGAACTCAGGGTTGCATATATAGAAGTTCAGAGTAGTCCAGAATATAAAGGAAACATTGAGAAAATTGATATGCCACAATTGTCTTGTACTGATAACTAAGGGCCACCTTTTGCTCTCAGATATACACATATGAGTCCCATTAGCTTTGATGGGAGTTGTACATTCACAGGAGTTTGGGCTTTTTTCCCACTAGCTAGCAAGTAGACTTTTGTAATACCTGTTAAATACTTCCCATTTAATTGCTGACCACCATAGAGCTCCCATGAGAACAACATACAAACCCTGACACTTTCTGTTGCCAAACCCTTTTGCATAGCACAAACTCAGTTACAATGTTTCTTATTTAGCTGACAACAGGGTCCCACTATGCTAGGTGCTGTACAAGCATAGTATGAGATACCTGGGCCAAAGAGCTTACGTACTATATAGACAATTCAGAGCACTGAGGAAAAGGATAGATTGAGGTGTCTGGACAACAAGTCAGTTCTGCCACAGCTTTCAAGGTTTTACATTTGTTTTTGTTCCACAGCAAAATTAACCCAGGTCAAATGTCTTCATGAAATGAAATCATATCCACAGTCAGGTTTTCGATTTGAATCTCCTTAAGTGATATGAGAGTCCATCTGGACTTCAGAAATTCCTCATGCAAAAAATGAGGAAGAACAGCTCTTGCGCAAAAGGGTTTTTTTTTTTTTTGCACAAAACGGCGTTGTTTACACAGTGCTTTTTTGTGCAAAAACCTCTTGCACAAAAGGGAAAGGAAGAGGAAATACAAATGAGAGCGTGACATATGCAAATGAGCTCTCCATTTGCATTTCCTCTTGCGGAAGAGGATCATAGTTTAGACGTAGCCTAAGAGATTTGACCACCACTACTCATAATGTCCATCATAGACCCACATTCACACTTACCTGCCTCCACTCCGTTTCTCCTTTCAGGTCTCAGTCACAAGCGACTGACAGTTTGATGTTATTAGAGAGAGAAGATGGATGAGACAACATATTTTTATTTGACCAGATTCTGGGAATGATACTCCCACCATCACATCTAAATGCAGGATGGTCCAATAAAAGTTATTATTCCACCCATCTTTCTCTCATATCCTGGGACCAACACAGTTACACTACCCTGCATGGTTTGAGGTTGGATCAGTTACACTATTTATGCTCTGGGATTATGCACTGCTCTCACTCACGCAAGTGCAAACATTGTCTACAAACTTTAAATCGGGATTCCCGAGGGCATAGAAAGGCACAAATCCCTAGGAATGTGGATCTGTACAAACAATGTACCCTTTCTCACCAACATATGTGGAAAAATCACCTAGCGTGCACTGGCTAACTGACATGACATTATTTACAGAAGGCATGATCCAAGATATGCTGTTCATCTATTCTGTGTTTATCCCCAAGATTATTGTTGTCAATCATTTAGTTCCTGACTGTTTGCCAGGATATCCCCTGCATGTAATGATCATACTGGTCCTTCTGTCTCCTTTGCACTACAGCACTTGTTTGTTTTTTCTTCATTTTCACAGTGAACCAGTCTTTCGACAGCTTTGTGCTCTACACTGGCTCTTGGAGGCTTTGACTCTCGAACCCACCTATTCCTTAAAACCTCTGTTAACCTGCTGGAATCCAAAGTACATGCACATTGCATAATATTCTTTGGTGGGATAAGATTTTTTTCTTCTAAACATTTTTTCTCTCCCTTTGCTTTTAAGTAAAAATTATTTGAGTGACGTGTTATTACTAATTCTGGGCCATTTCGAGTTATCAAGTTACATATAGAATCCTTTGGAACCAACGAGTTCTGTGGAGAAATCAGCAGCATAGCCTGTCCTTCTGTTGTTATATGCTGTAGCACTTAAGGAAAGGATCATAAAATTTGACGGCAAATTTAGGTTTAAAATATTATGCAAGTTAAATCTATTTACTAAGGTTCCAATTCTGTCCATGGTTGTTCCAAAGAGATCAGCTGGAATTTTATCTCCTGTGTGATTGCAGTACAGAGCCTATATCAGATGATTCTTGCTAGCTATTTTTATTTCATCACTTACATATGGCTCTGAACTCTTTTAAAAGATTAGTTAGTTCAGAACATTTATATTTTTGCTGTTTTACTTGTGTATTTAGTAGTAAATATTATTTTAATTTTTCAACATTTTCAGTCAATGGTCATAGTAATATTAAAATATATATATATTTATTCCATATTTTTTCTTAATTGTATATCCAGATATCAGATAGAACCATAAAGCAATGATTGTGATTATTTTCTCTGATCCACAGGGAAGAGCTATCTATTCAAGGCTGTTCTGGTTTCTCTTCCTGTATGCCCAAAAATCAAAGTGGTACAAATAGAAGCTCTGGCTTTATGCAGCAGAGAGGGCAGAATAGTCTTGGAGAGGATTCACCAGATGGACAGGAGATGAAAACTTAGTGCAATGTGTTTTATGTGTGAAATGTTTAACACCCCCGCTCCTTGCATAGATAGACCAGACACTGGATTGGGATCAGAAGCACATTGTGCAAGTGGGTTTCACAAATATTTGCTGACAGCAGAGAAATTAAGATTCAGAAC